GCATCTCCGGGCCTTTTCCTCCCCGCTGCCTTCCTGCGCCGGGGAGCCCTTCAAAACGGCCTCTCCCACCAGGCTCTGCCGGGGGGATTTGTCCTCCGTGCTCTCTGTCCTCAGCTCGGGGCCTGGGGCAGGAAGGAAGAAGGACAGGCAGGGGATTTGCCTCCAGCCCAGAGGGAAGGCCAAGGACATTCCCCCCAAATCTGGCCCCCACGTGCACCACAAGACAGGGCCAAAGGGGCACTGACTTCCTCCTCACCTGCCTGGGGGGCCTGCGGTCTTTTCCTTTTCCTCGCAGCCTTCTCCTCCATCCGCCCAAGCTTTGGGGAAGACAAATCCTGCTGGGCGGGAAACAAGGGCTGAGTGTGGTTGTTTGGGGGTTCCTCCTGCCCAAGTCCATTTCCAGAACTCACTGGGCATCCTGGGACCATAAAAACCTCCCAAACACCAAAAGCATCCCCCCAAAAAACTCTAGAACTCCAAGATTCAGTAAAAAAAAAGGCCTTCCAGGAGTCCCCCCTCTCAGGTCTCTGCACTTTGGGGTTCTGGGGGTCCTCCCTGTTTGGGCTGCTGGGGGGGTCCCATGTGTATTGGGGTACCCCACTCTCCAAGGTCCCTGCCCTCTCTGGGCTGCTGGGGCTCCTGGAGTTCCCCCCCTCCATGGTCCCCCTGCTTAGGGATGTTGGGGGTTTTGGAGGCCCCAGGGTCCCTTCTGCCCTGACTTTTTGCTTTGGGGTGCTGGGGGATCTCAAGGGTCTCACCTCTCTGGGGTCTACCCCTCTCCAGGCTGCTGTGAGTCCCAGGGATCCCCCTTCTCCATGCTCTAGAGGCCTCAGCAGCCCCCACTGAGTGTTCCTCCTCCTCTTCCCCCTCCTCCTGGCCTGGGTCCCCCCATTCCTGCTCAGTCCCAGTTTGCCAGACCCCAGACCCCTCTTTCTTTGACTCCAGGACCCCCTTGTCCCCACTTTCCTCACCATCCCACCTCTCCCAGTCCCTGCATCCTCCTGTTTTCCTCACCCTGGGGACCCCCAGCCCCCCATTCCTGGCTGGCCATCCCCTGTCACCTCATCCCCAAGTCTTCCTTTTCCTTGACCCCGGGACCCCCTGAAGCCCCTTCCCAGTTCCCACAGCTCTCCCAGTTTCTCCCTTCCCTTGACCCTGGGACCACCCTGACCCCCAAATCTCTGGGTCTCCCCAGTTCCCCACTCCTGGCTTATCCTGCAAGGCAGTCCTGGGGTGTCCCAGGGACCCCCTGAACCCCCCATCCCTGTGCACCAGATCCCCCCTGAACCCCCTTATCCGAGACCAGGACCCCCTTGCACCCCATTTCCTGGCCATCCCACCTCTCCCAGACTCCACACTCCCTTTGCCTTTACCTTGGGACTCCCTGGACCCCCAGTCCTGGGTATCAGGACCCCCCTGCACCCCCTTTCCAGCACTGGGACTCCCTTTCACCCCCTTCCTCAGCTCCAGTAGCCCCTGCAACAACCCCTTTCCCGCCCTCCCGCCTCTCCCAGCCCCAAGGTACCCCCTCGACCCCCATTCCTGCCTTTTCCAGACTCCTGAATCTCCCTTTTTTGTTGTTGTTGTTTTTGAACACCGAGGGACCCCCTGAACCCCGTTTTCTGGCCCTTCTCCCAACCCCCCCACGACCCTCCCTTTCCCCGACACCGGCGACCCCCGTGCAGAGGCTCCCCCTGGACCCCCCATCCCCCCTCTCCCCATCCCTGCCCTGCCCTTTCCTTGGCCCTGGCATCCCCCCCAACTCCCCTTTCCCAGCACTGTGTCCCCCGGCAGCCCCAAGATTCACCCCAAAACACCAAGATTCACCCCAAAAAAGCACTCCCAGGGTTTTCCCCTCTCCCATATCCCCACTCTGGGGAGCCGCGGCAGGAGTAGGGGGGGAATTGGGGAACTCCTGGCAGTGTTGGGGACAATCAAAGAGTTCCTGACACGTGGCCGGGGCCTTTGTTCGGCCCGCCGGGAATCGACAACAAACCTCAGTCCCGGGGGTCCCCCCTGGCCGGGGATCAAGCGATGGGGACACGAAGGGACCCCCACGGGAACTCCTCTCCTGCTCTCCCACCTCCCCTCATTCCCTTCCCCCATCCTTTCCCCGTCGCCCTCCCCTCCCCCCGCCATCAACCCCGGCTTCCTCCCCTCCCCCCCTCGGTCGGTTTGGGAGGGACCCACCCCCTCTCTCGCTCACTTTGGGGGTCCCACCCCTCCCTTTCTCCTTCCCCACTCCCCCTTTCCCATCGTGTGCCCCCAAACCAAACCCCAACTCACGGGCGACCTCCTCGCTCTGGGAACGGAAGGCGGGAGGAGGAAGAGGAGCAGGAAAAGGAGGAGGAAAAGGAGGAGGAAGAGGAGGAGGAAGAGGAGGAGGGAGAGGAGGAGCATCTTCCCCCCAGTCCATCAGTTGGCCGGTGGGGGGGAGCTCCATTCAGATATTTTGGGGGAGGGATCTCCGGCGTGGTTTTTGTGGGGGGGATATTTGGAGCTTGCGGGACTCCGAAGCGGAGCCGCAAATGCCCCTCGGGGGGGACATCGGGGGGTCCCCGGGAGGTGTGTTTTTTTTTGGGGGGTGGTGTGGGTTCCCGGCAGAGCCCCGGGGATTGGCGGGGGGATACGGGGACCCCCTCTTTTTTAGGGACCCCAGAGTGGGGGGCGCAGTGGGGGGCGAAGTGTGGAGAGGGTGAACACAGAGGGGTATGGGGGGG